TGAGAAAGCTTGTACAAAGTACAAGGTCAAAAAGGAGGCGGGAACTCTCGCGACAATGTGGATGGCTACCGGATAAGGAAAAAAGTACAGTAAACACGCTAGGCCAAGCGTAAACGTGCCGTCGCTGTTGGTGGGGCACTATGAATACCAGAGGTTGTATAAAGCAAAACCATATCAAAAAGGGTCATACTGCAATATACGAATGAAAGCAAAGACTAAATCAGTGCCTGCAGCAGAAAGCAAAGTCTTACCTGTCGCTGAACACAGTAATGAAACCCTCTTCTTTCGACAGCAACACGGCAAACTCGACGGCACTCGAAAACCCGGAGATGCCGCTTACGACTGACGGTTGTACGTCGCTGCAGTTGTCACTGCCCCCCTCAAAATCCACCGCCAAATAGACTGCCGCCCCTGCAGCTGAGCCGGACGCCGAGCAACTTGCTGCCATGGCAAGCAACGTAACGAGTACCTTCCTCAACTGCAACAACGAACGCTTCTCACGACTTACGCAAAACCAATCAAAACCAACACCACTACACGTCGTCCCCGCCAACCAACCATGCGATCAAGCTGACCGAAACAGCAGAGTCGCCCACTGGTCATCAATTCAAGGGCATTCTCGCCCAGTAGACGCATACTCCGCACGGCAAGTTCGCAATGAGATTCGTGCCGCACTGTATTTAAATCAGACAGAACCGCAGGCTGGAATAAACAGACATAGTAACCCCGATTTAAAGAGTCTAAACATATTACTTAAAAATACTCCACCAACGACAGCGAAACACAAAGCGTTCGAAACCAACTTTTCCAGAATTTGCTCACCATATGTAAGATAAGTAACAAACTTTTACTTGACAATTTTTTCGATTTACAGAACCGATGCTAACAATTGATGAACCCTGAAAGTGCGGTGCTTGGGGAACTTTCTGCGGTCAAGCATCTTCAAAGCCTTTCTCTAATGATATCGTTATATATTGACTATCAGGAGAAGGGATCATTTTTTTGAGCCGCTTGCTGCTCAATACCGGGGGTTCTGTCGCGTTGTCATTTCACTACACTCGAAGTTCTTTATGGCTACTACGTGAACCTTTGACCCAATGCTCCCCGACGGTGTTTGTTTTCCTCTCTTGGAGTTTCGTTATAGTTATTCGACTCAGCGCACCAATTATCATTGCGGTTTTTATTGACATGCCATGCCTACTGAGTTACCTTATATAAG